ATTAAAAAATGTATTAGTACCTGGGACTGAAATTGAAGACTGCTTATAAACTAATAACTATTAATAACGAATATAATAATAATACTCAATACTACCTTAAATAATATTATTAATATTGCATATATAATTATTTCAAGGAATAAGCCTACATTTACATTACATAAAAACAATCATAGATTATTATTATTCTTAAAGTAGTGGTCTTATACAGGGTTTCTTTCAGTCATATGGGGGGGGGGGAGGGGGGGGGCGTACAACAATATAAAGATAAAATTATTTTAAAATTAAAAGCGACTAAGTTTTCTTTTCTTTTTTAAACAGTTTAAAAAATATTAATATTTGGTGCCTTTAACCGATACAATTAGTGGAATATATGAAATATTGCAACGCTCAATATATTTGATGATCAGTATATTTAAGTCTAATGTTTTGAAAGGCGTATAGTATTAAATTATAAATATCGCACTGGACACTCCAGATTATAAGCCCATGACTAACATCCAGTAGTTTGCATATATCAGTATTTTTATTTATTTATTTTTTGCAACTGCATAAGTTTAAATATTTAAATAACTCTCTATTAAATTACCTTTACATCAATATATAAAGGTCTACAGTTCTACAATTTTAATAATCGCTCTTGGTAAGTATCAAACACGCGCAATCTAATTTTCAAATTATATTTCATCATAAAAGCACGACTTAAAGTAGGGATAGGTGTTAATTATAAATTGTATGATGGCGTTATTCTTTAAAAATTAATTTTATTTGCATAGTCAAACTATACATTTAGTCTACGTCATGTGTGTTGAGTTATACAAAATGGAAACTAAAAAAAAAAAGTTTTCTTTTTTTAAGAATTTAACAGGCGCATAAAAAAAGTGCACATTTGATCAACTATTATATTTATATCGAAAGCGTTTGTGTTGCTTTTAATGTGCTACTTTTGTAATGTTTCCTAAATAACAGAGGTTAAAAAATATGTAGCCCAAATTTATTATGCCCCATTTATTTGCACTTTTTTTTTTTTTTTCTTCTAGATCTTAAAATTTAAAAAAAAAAATATTTTTTTTAACTAGCATTTTCAATGATCATGTCAATTCTATAAAAAGAAATTTTGTTGGTACTAGTTTTAGAAAAAATTCTTACTCCTAATTTGTTCAATTTAAAATAAATTCTGTGGATTTGATTTAAATGTACGTGTTTTAAAGTAGACTATATCTAACAGGCACTTTTTATTTTATCTGAAAAAAGTTTATATTATTTTGAAATTATAAATAAACATTTCAATCAACTGAATAATGGGTAATATATACTTTATTTGAATATGATTCCCTTAGACAAAATCTCACATTAATAAATATATATAATGTCTTTTGTAAACAACTCACATCTTCTTAAAATATTTATACCATTCATATACGATTTATAAAAATGACCAGTTTTCAAAACCCATAAAAATGTATAGACCTTTGTAATTAACAGTTCCTTTTTTTATTTTTGACTCTGGTAAAAAAAAAAAAATTTTGAAATATTTTTAAAAGGGGGTCTAATTATTATAAGCAAGTTTGTTTGTTTGTTTTTTTCCATTTGCGTTCAGCATATAAAATAATGTTTGGAAGGCTTTTTAGTGATGGAAACCTTTTTATTTTTATTGTGTGAGTTGAAAATTCATTTATTAATTAAGTAGCCATCCCCCAAAATAATGTAAATAAAAAATAAAAGCCATGTTACTATTTTTAATAATATACACATATTTTTTTGCATGACACAAGCAGGTCAAGCACTTTTCCTCGCGCCCCCCCCCCCTTTTTTTTTCTTCTTCTAACCTGCATTGAAAGGTGATAATTAAGAAAATATCCTTATCACATCTTTAAACCCCTAAAATATCCGAGCCACCCTGCATCGTATGGGTTGCTGTGTGCACAAGAAGGTTCTAATGTTAAGTGACACCTACATTTTTTAAAACTAAGATCTCTTCCGTTGCTCTCCAATTAGAGTGTTGCAAAACTAAATTCAGATATGTGATAAAATGCAATCTTGTATTTTTAATTTAGCAAAAAATTCTGGGGACTATAAATTTAAAGATTTAATGGGCGAGAATAAGCTAGGTCAAAAGCATACCATCAAGGGTGACACACTAGAATGAACTAGAATGAATTAGTTTATGTCCCGCTGGTGCGGAATTCAAAATGTCTTTGATCATTATTATGGCTAATTTTGGCACTTCCCATCCGAAAGTTTGAAATGCAACCTCAAAATTGTCTGAAAGAAACAACAAATTCAAGTATGAGCCAAAATGCACCCCTGCATTTTAAGTTTGTCAGACTGCCTTTAGCACCCTAAATTTCACTCACTCTAATCAATGGTACATTATGGGGTTAATTATAAGCTTGTGCCAAATGCTTACTCTGGGGCATGCCACAAACGAAGTGAATTCAGTTAATGTATGGCACTGGGCGCCATAATGCCTCCCACAAAACCTTAATAATGTTTTTCCCCGTTCAAAAAGTATAATAGAAACATTGAATTCAAGTAAACTAAGAAATACTCCTAGATTTTGAAATAACCAAAAATTTTCTGGGGACCCAGTCTCCTTCAGACGCCCTCAATTTCCGCCCTATTTCCCAATGAAAATGATCACCAGTTTTGCTATCGAAGTGCTATCGATAGATACACTGCATAGAGGTGTAGCTACTATTAGTGACGCCATGGGCGGGCAAATATTTTTGCAGAGCCGTTCTTAAGGCCCCACTGCCAAAGGGGTTCCGCCAGGCATTTTTTATTTTTTTTTTAAGCCTACAACTTGCAATTCCATATATTTCAGAAGTACCAATTTTCTCTAGTGGTGGAATTATCAATGTGGTTAGTGGTTACACGTGAGCAAAGAGGAAACAGTAACGAAGGCAAAGTGAAGGTGCAGCAGTGGTGGTTGATGTTTTTCTCCGGGGCCCCCTACATGCGCTCCATGCCTAGGGCCCCCAAATCCTAAGAACGGCTCTGCTGCTTATAAAGAAGAAGTGACACCTGCGTGGACCTCCCCAATGCCCCCTATTTCGACGACATTAGCAGGGACGTTTCTACAGTCTTTGGAAAAAATGGCTGAAGGAAACACTGGTCTTATATAGCGTAATAACCCAGCCTAGGGCTAGGCTCACCTCACTTCACATAAAATTAACAAAGTGAAAGAGGGAAAAAAAAAAAGAAAGAAACACGACATTAAAAAAACAGTTACCGGGACGCAAAATTATTCATATAAAGATATATCAGCAGATAAGCCTACGCAAAATTATTCATTTAAAAAGATAGATAAGCCTGCCAAGCCAGAGTACAGAATAAAATGTGTCTAAGTTTAGGCTACTTCACTAATATTTTAGACCGCATTACAGTCTCTACTCTATCACCAGGATACATGCCCAGGTTGCAGAGGAATGATGGTGTGTCTACTTAAGTCATAAGCCTTTGGCCTATAAAATACATATTTTAAAATGTATTTATCAATCTAGTCAGGGGAGGGAGACTATTTAACAGACAGATGGGCGAAAATGGCCTTGGGATTAGCAATGATATAAACAGATTTTAAGAATTAGGTTATCGTGGATGTTGGATGTTTATTGTTCGTCCTTTGCATACAAAGATGACCAAGTTGAGTAGTAGCCTTGAATTGCACAATTTGTCAGCCTCATTCTCTTGTCCTTTCCCATTTTTATCCAATGGCAAGACTTAGTCAAGACGACTGGGAGATAGGCTGGGATACAGTGGATGACCAGAATGTTTCTTGCGTCTCACTGTGCTTTCTACACCGCTTGAGCTGCTGGAATTTTCATTGTGTCAATGTCATACCGCCAACATGACTCCTTCTCTGGGTTTCAATTCAGACTGGTTAAACTGTTGGTCACCAACTTATTTAATGATGCAAGATATCAAGTATTATTTATGCTACAATGAGCAGATAATTACACCTAATTACTAATGATGTCTCAAATGAGGCTGAGCCTTTCATTTTTTGGTTAGAGGCCACAATGCCAATGAAAAGCAGCCATGGGTGTAAATTCTTTCTCTACCTCATCATTCCATCTCAGTCTTGGTCGACTAGTGAACCGTCTGCCCCTAAGTTCAAATGTATCGTTAACATTGACATTTCGCTCCAATTATCAGATAACGAAAGAAAAGAAGTTTTATAATTTACTGTTAGAGTTTGAGCATATTTGGTAATCAACAAATTTTTATTTTAGTCTAATGCAATTTTTTCCGGCTGAATCAAATGTTTTTCTGTTTTTTATACATGTTTTTAAAATGCCACTCTTACAGCCGATGGAAAACGACTAAACGTACTTTCGTGTTTGGAGATGTGGCCAACCATAGCAAGCCTAAAGTACAGAAGTTAAGCAATGTCCCGGAGCAGGTATTATTTATAGATTATTTCTTTGTAATTGTAAAAATGAAATTCAAGTCAAATTTAAGTTTTAAGCATATCCTCCAAAACTTTGATTTATAACAGATATTTATCTAGAGTTAGAATCTATGACCAGATAATTTATTTTCAAGTTGTTGTATTCATGATTAGTGAACTGTTTTTGTTTAGAATAATAAATAGAAAAACAATTTAATTAACTTTATATTTTACATTTTGAAATAATTATTAATGATGATATAAATTTATGAAGGAAAAACCAAGCCAGAATAGCTAAAAAGGTATTGTTACTTTAACGAAATAATTCTTTCTGAACTTTCTCTTTTGAGTATTTTACACATACGTAACTTGTGTCTATTAATATTTTCAAAATTAAAGTCAAAGGGAATAAAAGTCCTTGCACACAGCCCTATTCTATACTATCAACTGAACCCAAAAAAATCTGCCATAAGGCTACACTCCAATCAGCGAAAACGTTCCAATTGAAATATCTTCAGATGGCTTGGACTTTTAGAAAAGAATATATATTTTAGACCAGATTTTGAAATGGGATTGTTGAAAGAGGGGTGTACATTTCTGACTTTTTCAGAGCCAGCATAAAGGTCCCAAATATGAAGCACTACCTGCTTTACCCAAGCTCAGTTCTTATGGTGAGTGGCTGTGACTTAAGTGATGTATATTTTATATTATAAGGAAACCTTTTTTTACTTACTAGACCACTGGAGAACTAATTTTTGTTTAAAGGCTGGTGGGTAGGGTTTAAGCCTGTCTGTAGGACTATTGTTTAAAGGCTGGCAGGTAGGGTTTAGGCCTGTCTGTAGGACTATTGTTAAAAGGCTGGCAGGTAGGGTTTAGGCCTGTCTGTAGGATTATTGTTTAAAGGCTGGCATATGTTATAGTAAATGAGAAGTTAACTATATTTTTATAACACTTGGACATACCAGGTATTTTCTCAAAAGGCCTGAACCCGATGTTAATAAAGTGCACCCGGTTAAACCCTAGTACAAATGTAAGCAGCTTTTGCAAATATTTTAATATTGACATTTCCAATGGGTTTTTTTCTTCAATGTAAAAAAAAAAACAGAGCCCCTCAAGCTCCACGAGAAATCAGCTTTACATGACCTTCAACTTGGCACTAACATTGACCTTAATGAGGACCCACACAGAGACCAATGCACAACAAATGCAGTCAGCCATCCTGTTGACAATGCCATTTCTACCATCAATGGGGTTGGAGTGGAAGGGGAGGGTCAGCTGCCTGCTAATGAACTCAGCCATCCTGATGATGGGAATGCTGCAACGGATGATGGCCGTCCCCGAGTTAGTAAAAGCCTTCAAAAAAATTCTTCCATGCATCAAAATTCTCAGAAACTGTCATCAAGTCATGGCAAAACGATTGACCAGGACACAGCTGACAAAACTGTTGAGAATTTAGATCAGGGTGACATTGGTGACACGTCAGCCCACCACTGTACTGACAATTCATCAACTTTGAAGAGATCTGTCGTACAAAACAGCTCTTCCTCAAACAACAAAACAGCAATGTCTAAACACAAAAAATGGGTTAAGGAAGCTAAAACAACAAAACACAGACTTGTAGCAGATTTAGACCACAGACTTGTAGCAGATTTAGAGCACAGACTTGTAGCAGATTTAGAGCACAGACTTGTAGCAGATTTAGAGCACAGACTTGTAGCAGATTTAGACAGGGAAGATTCAACTGAAAGCTCCAGCACTGATAAAGAAAACAAAAGTGATCCACTAGAAGTTTCTCTTGTGATGATAAGACCAAAGAAAGATGAGTTCATTGGTAGTCTACAGTTGAGTTCTGTTCCTGATGAGGGGCCTGTGTTCAATTTATCTAAGAGGAACCACAGCATGGCCCCCCTACCTGAAGGCCATGACAGATCATCTGTGAAATTGTCATCTCTCAGGAACAGAGATTTACTCACACCAGCAGAGACGCTGCGTAAGAAACGTCAGTATCCTTACTCACTCCAAAGCAGAAAAAAATCAATTTCACCGAAAAAGGATGTGCTCCATTGTAAACAAATGTCTGGAGATGGTTCTAGTAGTGAGCTCTCACTAACATCTCAACAGAAAACCCAGAAACCTCAAAGGGAAAAGAAAAAAAGACTCAACCAAAAGCAGAGCCCCCTGAAGCCAGAAGTGGCTGTTCAGAAATTGCCAACTCAAGAACCCAGTAACTCGCTCAGCAGAGAGAGAGAAAATCTCCCGAAAGCCGCAGACAGAGACTCTAATCGACCTTCTCCACTTTCCTTGTCCACACCTGATCACATGACTATGCAACCGGCCCAAGACTCTCAAACCAGCTCCGGGGAAGAAAACCCCAGGGGTCGCAGTTTAAGGGATCGAAGTTTAATGCGTTCACCCGAAAGTGTTCAGAAGATGAGGCAATATCCAATCTCTTTTTATTATTCCAGGAAAAAAATGCTAGAAATAAGTGGGGAAGTTTCTCCTGATCAAAGTGCAAACATTTCAAAACAAAATGGGAGATCACCAGGACCTACAAAACACTCTCCTGTCAAGGGCAAGCAGAAGAAATCAGATTTAAAAACGGCAGCTAAATTTTCTGGAAACAGATCTCAGCCAGTCGTGTCCCTTCCTTCTGCTTCCTTTAAAAAAAGTGTTCAGAAGCAAGGAATAAGAAAGTCATTGACTTTGTCCAGAGGTGTGAAGTATTCCATCTCAAACAGTGTCTTAGTTTCTGGTGCTCTGTCCAGTCAAAAGGACTGCTCTGATGCTCACCTATCACGAAGAGAAGAGCAGCTTGAGTTGAAACAAAAAGAAGTGTCAACAAAGACAAAATGCAAACAAAAGTCCAAGGCCATTGCTACTTACAATGTAGCCGTTGGTGCTCACAATGAAGCCACTGGTACTCACAATGCAGCCATAGTACCTGACCATCGAACTGCAACTCAGGCTGATTTGTTTCTCTCACCCAGCAAGTCTCCCTTGGGGAAAACTTCAGGGCTTAACACGTCTCTAGTCAAGAATGGAGAGTTAATGGTGGGGCAAATAGGCTCTTTGATAGAGAAAAATATGTCAAATGGCCAGATCATCAGTTCACCTATGAAGAAAAATAAACCATCTCTTATTCAGAGCAGGTCTCTGATGGGGAATGACAAATCTTCAAGTCAGAGCAGGTCACCATTGGGGAAAAGAAAATCATCTGTTATTCAGAGCAGGTCACCATTGGGGAAAAACAAATCATCTGTTATTCAGAGCAGGTCGCCATTGGGGAAAAACAAATCATCTGTTATTCAGAGCAGGTCACCATTGGGGAAAAACAAATCATCTGTTATTCAGAGCAGGTCACCATTGGGGAAAAACAAATCATCAGTTATTCAGAGCAGGTCGCCATTGAAGAAAAATAAATCATCTGCAATTAAGAGCAGGCCGCCAATGGCTAAGAGCAAATCGCCCCAAAAGCTCCAGCATCTTGAAAATCAGAAAGCCAGTGTGACAATGAACGATGTATCCATCAATTCAACTATTTTATCATCACAAAAAACGCAGAGAAAGAGAAACTTGGTTACAGAGCTGACCACCATCCTCGAGGGGGAGCAGGCTGCCAAAGGTAAATGAAGTCTTTATCTACTCTGGCACCCCTTTAGACAAATTCATGTGTTGGTATCCATGCTTTGCTTTATCTTTCGTTGTAATTTAATGCTAACATATTTTCTTTTAATGAATATTTTCAAATATATTGACTTGTCCTTTTGATTCAATATGAATAATGAAATTTTTTTTTCATGTTGGATTTCGCTTTAATGCTATTAAAACTAGAAGATACATTATAACTGATATCATTTTACTTTATGAATTTGAAATATATATACTGACCAGTGTCATTCCAGTTTAGCATCGTTGCCCCCTCTTCCTGACAAATTTGATATTCTGTCCCGGTTTCAATCCCATTTTTCATTTTTTAAGATAAACAATAAAATTGTCCTGCCTATGTCATTCAGCCGTGTACCTATTTTTAATATCAGAACTTCATTGGTATCACATCCATTATTTAATGTAACTAAACTAAAAATCTATATTTTAAAGATTGGCATTTATTTATAAATAGTTCCTCAAGTAAAATAAAGAGGCCTCTAAATATTAGGCCTGGGTCAAATCTTTCAATTGCAACCTTTACCACCCCCACCCCCCCTTTTTCCGACATGCTTTGTTTTGAAAGATAAATTACTATACTATTAATAGTCAGTAATTTATTGTACCGGTAAATATAATATATTCCCTATTATTAAGCTGTTAAGAGATTTTGGATGAAAAAGTAAAAATGACTTTTCTTAAAAAGTAGAATGAAGGGCAAAAAAGGAGAGTATGGATACTTTTTCTCTCCCTTACTACCCAATACACAAGATGTGGCATAGAGATATTGCGTCTCTTTGGCATAGCTTGATAAAATACCTCCTGGAGCAAATTACCCTCTCCCCTCACAAAATCAAAATTTATTAAATTGTCCTAATGTCTGTATCTTATTTTTAAGTCTGGATATATGTGTTTGTACAGTATTTCTAAAACATGATTATTTTTTTCATCAAAGAACATCATTATCATCATCATCTGGGAAGAACATCATTTTGATCATCTTTCAAGAACATCATTGTGTTTTGTCCAATAGTTTTAACTAGGGGTGTGCCGGATCCGTTTTTTCCATCCGGATCCGGATTTTCTTATGCGAAATCCGCCGGATCCGGATTCCGGAATAATCCGGATTCCGGAATAATCCGGATTCCGGTTTCTCCCTGATTTTGGTACTATTGGTAGATACTTCGGTAAGTCAAGGTGGACTACTACTTTTTGTGTATGGGAATTCGCAATCAGCGCCAAAAAATCCGAGTTTTTAATTTTCCGATGTGTGTGTCTATTTATTATTAAATTAGTACTTTCGATATATATTTGAGTTCCGTTCCATTTGGATAAGTGTCTTACGAGAGACGCCATGTTTCTACGCGTTCGCAGCAGGTCATGCAGCTCGCTCAACCTAATTTCGCCATGGGGTTGGCCACGCCCCCCTTTTTAATGGCGGAAGTTGACGATACTTAGGAAATATTAATATATTATCACTATTTACATCAAAATAATTGATAACTTGTGTTTCAGAATGCATTTAAACTGGAATGTTTTAATTTGAGCTTTAACAACCCGGTAGAATCCATATTATAAATGATCAGAATTTACCGTGTGCAACACGTTGTCATTGGCAACCATTCACAGTCACTTGCATAACTGTATCGTAGTACTACCTCAGAGTTTCATTCATAAGAGTTTGCCGTGTGCAAAAACTATTAAACCATTGGTCAGGGAAAGCTTTAATTAATTATTCATGTGCCAAAGTTGAAAGTTTAAACTAAGTCTAAACAGTATTTTAGTGATAAGGCAGGGAATGCGTTGCCTTATATAAACTATATAGTCATTGCGCATGACGGGATTGGCGGAATGAGATCACAGAATGTGGAGATGCAGTCCATGTTAAAAAATGACAAACCAAGTCGTACTTTAAAAATTCATAACTTTAAAACTACAACAGCTAAAAATATGATTTTGGTGTTATAATTCTTTAAAAAATTACATCTTTTCAACTATGCCATTGGTTTATTTTTACAAAAAGTTTAAATTTTCTTATCAAAGTCCCTACACTATTGGCCACTATTAGCGGTGCTGACTCTAGCCTCTGGTATGTACGGAATATTAAACATTAAACAAGCTCAACGCTCGAAACAATCGATTAATGTATCGTGATCGTGTGGAATTCGGGAAAGAGAATTACTTTTATTTCAGATTATGATCCGGTGAGTCACAAAAATCTGGCAAATTCCGAAATCCGGTATATTCCGGATTCCGGAATCCGGTTGTTCCGGATACATGTAAATCCGGCGGAACCGGATTTCACCGGATAGTGCAAAATCCGGCGGAACCGGATTCCGGAGCGGGGTCCGGCACACCCCTAGTTTTAACTTGTTTCAAATAAATATTTTTACCTTAGATTAGATGATCTCGTCGTGGACTTCTTTTTTTAAAAAAATGACATTTCTGTATTTTAGGTTGTGGTCGTAAAATTAAGCTGTGGTGTCCGGGCAACAACTCAAGGCCAGGGTCAGAGGTCACAGCATATGACGTCATCCTTGAAGATATAGAAATATTAGAAGATAATTTGAGGTAATACATAAAGGGGGTGGGGGTAAAAAGTTATGCTATTGTTATCTCTGACTGCTTTTTTTGTTTTGCTCTAAAATACATATTTGTTGATGTTTTAAATGTGTGATATTTAAGCATATTTATGTCTCCGCCAAGAAGGGAGAGGGGGGGGGGTTGTCCTCAGCTGTGGGCTCATGTTAGGGTGAAATGGATTTGTTTGCCATGTAGGACTTCAGTTCTTGTGGCATGGAAGGCTTCAATTGGCTTAGTTGGCAGACAACAGACATCTTGGCCTGGGATGAGAAATATGTTTCCTATGCAAAAAAAAATGTTGTTCCTCTGCAGTTGCCAGAGTATTTTCAGAATGTAAAGGCAAAGTTTGTGTATAAATCCTGTATAAAATGTAATATTGTGCAATATGGGGGTGGGGCTGAAAATTTGATAAAGTAATGGATACCAGTAAGACACTTTATATCAATGCCAAGTAGTGCTCCCCCCTCAAGGCTTGCAACCGCACATTTTTTCATGCCCCTGAACTATATTTATATTCTAATGACCCACCCGCAATATCAGAAATCAAAAAGAATATATTATGCCGCAAAGACGCTGGCAATATTTTTACAAAAGAAATCTCATTTAGCGCAGTTATTGGGAACTTTATTTCGTGAAATCATATCCCTTCATCGTCCCTTTGAAAAACAGGGAAAACTGATTTTTTTGGGGGTGGGCTGAAAATTGAATAGAATCTATGTGCCAAGTTTCAGCTGGATCGGTTTACTGGAAATGGGTCAATTATTTGTCTGAAGGTCTTGCCAGCCACAAAGCAAAGTAAATATAAAGGATTTAAAAAACAAAAATATTGTTGATCAATCTTGACAATCAAGTTACATATATTGATTTGAAAGTGTAACAATGAAAATGTTACAATTACAATTGATATAATTTTTATTTGCCTTTAAAGACATTTCTTTAAAATATTTTTGGGTAATATATTTTTTAAATACCAAATTCTATTGGATTTATTCTGTCAAATATCCTTTAAATGTTTTGTGCGTTTTCTTGCTGATGGTGAGTAAATATCCATATTTAATGTCTATGTTTGATTACATTCTCGTTTAGGTCAGCTGAAGAGAATGATGCTGGAAAGAGGCTAGTTGGACGTGTGATGAGAGGGTTAAAACAGTCTATGACAACTATGGTAAGCAGCATTGTTGGGACAGGGCGAACTGATGCCTCAAATATTTTACCAGAGTGGGGATTTTTACATGATTCTTGAGATTTACATTAACAGCTAACTGATACTGCTACAAGTTGCTTTGACATTGACCCAATTGTGCCATGCTACAAGATCCCTTGACATTGACCCAATTGTGCCAAGCTACAAGTTGCATTGACATTGACCCAATTGTGCCATGCTACAAGTTGCTTTGACATTGACCCAATTTTGCCATGCTACAAGTTGCTTTGACATTGACCCAATTGTGACATGCTACAAGATGCTTTGACATTGATCTAATTGTGCATTGCTGCAAGAGGCTTTGACATTGACCTAATTATGCAGTGCTACAAGAGGCTTTGGCAATCACCTAATTGTGCCACAAACACATGCAACTGCTTGAATTAAAGTATGCCCCATATAGTTGTGATAAGATAAGAGATAAGAAGCTTTTTATTGGTTCAGAGAAATAGACATTTGTTCTGATTGTAGTGCACATATCATTATCATTTGTTCCCCAAAATTGGTCAGTAACAAAGTGTTCAGTGAATCATCATGAGGCCAGAAGAGCTGTTAGGTTCTTGAGTGTACGTTGGCACTCTTAGATTAATATTGAACAGATCATAAATGGGTTGCAAGTGACTCAGTCATGGTTTAAAGTACAAATCACCCATTGGTAAAAATTGTAAATTCCATTACAAGAATGATGATGTACATTTACTGGAATGAACGTGCTCTAATACTTAAACAGTAGTTAATTGTTGTTGTCCATTTACTGGAGTGAACCTTCTCTAATACTTAACCAGTAGTTAATTGATACGTTTTCTTAACTGAAACAAATCTTTTCCTACAGATTTCTCAAGTTTTAGAGGTGAAAGATTTAGAAACTGGCCTAAAGAAGGTGAGTCTGGTGAACCATGAGTACGGATGTGTGTCAATTTTCAGTAATCATTTATTGTCTTCTGTTTAATAGTAGTTAGTAATGGGTTGATATTGAGGAGTAGCAGTTTTTTTAACCAAACTCCTTCTGCACCCTCCCCTCCCCAGGATCTAGAAGGTAATTCAATCACGCCCTTGAAAATAATAAAATAATCTCCAGCATCCACTTGCTGTACAAAAGTTTTTAAAAAAATGTTGTGCTGCCAGTATATGGTTAAAAGAATGTATCAAATTGGCAGAGGCGCAGCCTTCAACTGTACTTAATCTCACAGGGCGTCAAGTGAGCAATATAAGAACCTTTGAGACATCTCTCTACTTTTGACGAACAACATTGCCTTACCACAATAACGATTTGATCAAAATAATTTTTTTTTTAAATCTCTTTTTTTGTTCTTCTCCTATCCCCCCCCCCCCCACACAGTCTTCCGCTCCTCTTTCCCTCCTCATGCATACAGCTTCCAGATGTTACTCATGTTTTGTTAATAATAACTATTTCCATCAAGTCAACACACTTAACAAGTTTCTTGTTTTCCCCAGCAAAGGGTCAGAAATAAGAGATTGCTGACAGACTTGACAGACCTAGAGAAACAAAAACAAAAGTAAGTGATAGATTTGATGAAATTAAGATAGCTTTGCTTGCAAATAATGGCTCTGCTATTTAGTGCTTTTAAATAATGGCTCTGGTATTTAGTGCTTGCAAATAATGGCTCTGCTATTTAGTGCTTGTAAATGATGGCCCTGGTATTTAGTGCTTGTAAATAATGGCTCTGGTATTTAGTGCTTGCAAATAATGGCTCTGCTATTTAGTGCTTGTAAATGATGGCCCTGGTATTTAGTGCTTGTAAATAATGGCTCTGGTATTTAGTGCTTGCAAATAATGGCTCTGGTATTTAGTGCTTGCAAATGATGGCTCTGGTATTTAGTGCTTGCAAATGACGGCTCTTGTATTTAGTGCTTGCAAATGATGGCTCTGTTATTGAGTGCTTGTAAATAATGGCTCTGGTATTTAGTGCTTGTAAATAATGGCTCTGGCATTTAGTGCTTGTAAATAATGGCTCTGGTATTTAGTGCTTGCAAATGATGGCTCTGGTATTTAGTGCTCGTAAATAATGGCTCTGGTATTTAGTGCTTGTAAATAATGGCCCTGGCATTTAGTGCTTGTAAATAATGGCTCTGGTATTTAGTGCTTGTAAATAATGGCTCTGGTATTTAGTGCTTACAAATAATGGGTCTGATATTTAGAGCTTGCAAATGATGGCTCTGGTATTTAGTGTTTGTAAATAATGGCTCTGGTATTTAGTGCTTGTAAATAATGGCTCTGGTATTTTGTGCTTGTAAATAATGGCTCTCGTATTTAGTGCTTGTAAATAATGGCTCTGGTATTTGGGGCTTGTAAATAATGGCTCTGGTATTTAGTGCTTGTAAATAATGGCTCTGGTATTTGGGGCTTGTAAATAATGGCTCTGGTATTTAGTGTTTGTAAATAAGGGCTCTGGTATTTAGTTCTTGTAAAGCTGACAGTCCTTGACATTAACATTGAAGTTTAATTCCTAAACCGTCATATTACATGCACGTCAGATACCCATACTCTAAGGTCCTGTCACAGTTCATATTACATGCACGTCAGATACCCATATCTAAGGTCCTGTTACAGTTCATATTACATGCATGTCAGATACCCATACTCTAAGGTCCTGACACAGTTCATATTACATTGCACGTCAGATACCCAGACACTAAGGTCCTGTCACAGTTCATATTACATTTCACGTCAGATACCCATACTCTAAGGTCCTGTCACAGTTCATATTACATGCACGTCAGATACCCATACTTTAAGGTCCTGTCACAGTTCATATTACATTGCACGTCAGATACCCATACTCTAAGGTCCTGTCACAGTTCATATTACATTGCACGTCAGATACCCAGACACTAAGGTCCTGTCACAGTTCATATTACATTGCACGTCAGATACCCAGACACTAAGGTCCTGTCACAGTTCATATTACATTGCACGTGAGATACCCAGACACTAAGGTCATGTCACAGTTCATATTACATAGTGTGACAAATATCTAATGCTTAAATCAAGAAAGCTGGGAACAGTGCCTTCATGAAGATCAACTTACATCTGCTAATCAACCTATCACGGAAGAGTTACAAAAAAATCTATGTCAGAAATGCGTTGTGAAGAAAAAGTGAAATCATGAGTGAAATCCACTGTATAATTAGTGCATTGCATAGGGATTTTCAAATAGGATCCACAGACTTGGGCAATTTAAACAAATTAATCTCTATCTTGACTAGCCTGAAGGTGTTTTGTTCCAGAGTAAATTATTACAATTAGCAATGACAACTTCAACACTTTGACTGTCAAAGTATTTAAGATATTCAATAATAGTTTCAACAGTTACAAAACCACACAATGACAGTCACATTTGTTTTCTCATCTTACAAGACCACACAATGACAGTCACAATTGTTTTCTCTTCTTACAAGACCACACGACAGTCACATTTGTTTCTCTTCTTGCTTCACAGGCTGCGTGGTGAGATGCAAGCCATCGGCAAAGATAATCACCACAAGAACATGATGCTGGCAAATTCATGGATGAATGATTTCAGACAACTGGTAATGACTATTGGTGATGAATCAGGAGACGGCTAATGGGATCGGGGGGAATGAGATTATTTGAATTGTCTGTCATGTTTAATTTATACACGGAGGTACCGTACGATTATGGCTTGACTTAGATGAAAGTATTGCTTCTAACAAAACTGTTATTTCTAATGGAACAGATAGATCTAATGGAACAGATAGATCTAATGGAACAGATAGATCTAATGGAACAGATAGATCTAATGGAACAGATAGATCTAATAGAACAGATAGATCTAATAGAACAGATAGATCTAATAGAACAGATAGATCTAATAGAACAGATAGATCTAATAGAACAGATAGATCTCTTGCACTGAAACACTGTGCCGAGTCTTTTTTTTTTTCTTGTAGGTATTATGTGGTCTGAATTATGATCTGAACTCAGGGAAGATTCGGGTGAAGTCTCAGGTCTCTTCTTAATTTAAATCAATAGAAACATGTGGCATAAAAAAACTAATTTGAAAATGTTATCCAATCAATAATTTTTATCCTCTGTAATTTTTTTATAGAGACATTTTTTTTTATTACAAAGTCACGTTAAGTCTAGAAAGCAACAGAAACCATGTGGAACCCTGCAATACCATTTTAAGAATTGAAGAAGATGTTCCTCTTACATGTACATATTATTATAGTCTCTTAAATGCTGGAGTAATGTAAGCAATCAGGTAATTCCATGGCTGTAATGTGCAGTAGCGTGTTCCGTTACAGCTGACCGACTCTCTCAAATACATGTTGTGTAACATGATGCTCAAAACCAAATCAAAAATGAGGCAGATTCTGAAAAGATAAAAAAACGACCTAACTGCTATTAACTTCATTTTCAGTAAATGTAATCTTTCCCATACCTTCATGTTTTTCTATAAGATAAAACAAGTTGCCTGTTTTGGCAAATGGTTTTGTTATGGCCTATCTTGTGGTAAAAGTCTGCCATTCATTTCTATAAGATAAACAAGTTCCTAGTTATAACTGAATCCGTTATTTAGAATCATGTGCAACTTGTTATGAAGCCTCGCTGCTTTTCTAACATTAACTCTCATTGGTATTTATGCAAAGGCATGCTATAAGCTGTTGAAATAAACATTTCATACAAATGCAAATGAATGTTTTGTGACACAAGCTGGCAACTGCACTTGTAAAATGCTGCCTGGTGTGAATTGTTGGGATGAGCCAGCTGTGATTATGGATTCAGTTTATTATTAGTTAATGACTACGAAATTATTCATTTCTGATATTTTGTATGCCTTTTTGTGTACTGCTTGTACTCTTAGGATTAGCCAACATAAAATTGAATGAACTGTGAAATTCTCGAATTTTTATTAAAAAATCATTGGATCATGGAGGATCTTGTTTTTTTTTGTTGTGGTTTTTTTTTTTTTTTTTTTTTTTTTTTTTTGGTTTTTTTTTTTTTTTTTTTTTTTTTTTTTTTTTTTTTTTTTTTTTTTTTTGCACTGGCCGAAATGACTTTCCCTAGAAGAATGTGTTCAGAGAGATGAAGACTTTAACGACTTTGTTCTCAAATGCTGGGAATACAATTGTTTGTACGAACAGCTATACAAAAAAACTGAAACCACAGGTCAGAGCTCTGCAACCGGTGTGTCGCAAGATGATGCCAGGTGTGTCGCAAGATGTGCTGAGGAAAATGCCTCCAAGCACACAGTATTTATTGACATGCAAAAATGATAAAACTGTTGCTAGAAAAGGGACAGCCTATTACCAACCAAGCTGCCAAAGTCAGCGATAATAGAAATGCATACAATACAGACTGTTAATGTAGAGAAATGCATTAATATTATAACCTTCTAACATTACACAACATTATGAATGTATTTTCATGTTTTTACTTGTGGTGTGCCACATGTGTAAAAAGGTTGCTGAGCCATATGTGTAAAAAGATTCCTGAGCCACATGTGTAAAAAAGGTTGCTGAGCTGTGTTTTAGACTTTTCATTTGCTAGTTAAATAATAACAAATACATTTGGTTTTTGGAAAAGGATTTATTTTACACTGTATATAAATTTTAAAAAATATTGCTTAATTCTTTCACTCAATTTTTTCAGCACATAATTATGAATTGTACAGATTGAAAAGTCCTTTTTTTTTTAATAATGAGACATTAGTACATTTATTTTACTTATTCTTATATTTTATAAGATCTACTTTATATTATGTATGTTAAATTATGAAAAAATTAACATGGTTTAAAAAAACACAAATCTTGGCTTGTGTGATTTTTAAGAGTTAAATAGTGGAGTCATTCTATATAATGAAGTAAAACATTCATTTGGGCAAGTTTTCTTCTATTTTATCCCGAAATACACATATTAACAAATGATGTATTGCATGCAGATCTTAAACTTGATACATGCGTTGTTACTCAATAATCTTTGCTGTTTCTTCAGCCCCAGCAAGCACCCCTAAATTTGTACCTACACATTTTTTTAAATGGCTTAACTATAACGATGGTTTTTAAGACATCAAAGATCGAGACAGCCGTCCTAGTGTTAAGAAAATGTACAAGAAAACAACTTGAGTAACTATGTAAATTTAAATGCGCTTACTTTATTGAAGGATGATCTACTTATAATCCCCAAATATTGACACCTCCAACCATTAGTTTTTAGTTTCACTACTTTTCTCATATTGTGACAGTCCCTAAAAGAAAAAGAAAGAAGAACATAGGGGGGTAATTTTTAACTGGTGGTATTTTTATATCTGAATAATTTTCACATCAACATTCATTTATTAATAATTATTCAATTTATATTTACAGTTGTGGATTTTAAAGTTTATTAACAAATGTACATTTTGAAAACTCAACATGAGACATTTCATTATAAATAATAGCAGCCATTTTAAATGTGCACATGATTCTCATAAGCCCATCTCATACTCAAACAACCTAAATAAAATAAAACTTATTCAAAGGCTAAGTGAAAGAAACATCCATACAAAGAAGGGGGGGGTGAGAGGTGATAAGAACTATTAGCTATTTAAAAAAAACATAAAAGTAAAAAAGAAAATAAAACTACATTTTAAAAAAATGATGTAAAGTAGAATAATTTTATTTCAGTACATCATCCCCTGCAAGACTATAGAAAATATTTAGACCCCCACCCCCCAAAGCAAAATACTTTATATTTTAAAACACTCTACAAATTTAGAACTCTATGTAGAATTACAACCCAGTGTAAGACAGAGTGATGTAGAACTTCTACTCAATGTAGAATAGCTTTATGAGTTATGGTTATGAGTTGATTAACTAAAAAATACAACTGAATGAAGTTTATCATTTTGTTTTAATCTGGACAGAAATATTAAAAAAGCCTCTGATGACAGCAAAGAAAAGGCCACTAAATGATTTACCATATATCCTCGTTCATTAATCCACTTTTAAAAAAAGTATTTCAGGGGAATAAGTGGGGTAGTCTGCTTATATGCGGGTCATATGAGATTTGTATTTCTCCAAGTTCATGGATTATGTTTATTACAGAAAAAAATAGAAGGCAACATAAAACATTGTGCAAAATTGGGTCACAATTTTTGTACTCATTTTTTGACTGCTGTGATTTGGCTATCAAAGTACCTACATTGAATAATGAAATTATAATTTGTTTTTAAATCTACAGTACAGTATGATTAACTTATATACCGGTAGACACAAAGCATCTGTGTTTGTCTTTTTACTTACACATTAATTATTTTTAATAATTATTATTCTTATTGAAATTATTTTCTTTACTATTGCACTGCCTCTACTGGGAAATTTTCTTTTAGGGTCGGCTTAAGAGAGAGTTACACAATTATCAGGCTTTTTTTCCCAGCCAAAACTAATGGAACTGGCTTATGTACAAACAAGCTATTGAACGAGCATATGCGGTAATGGATGGGGCTAACATTGTTAGGTTTTATTCTTTGGTATAACTGCCACAATTTTTGTTTACTAATTTTAATAAATTGAACAAATTAATTTGACAAGTCTGTTATAAACAAAAAAATATTTTTCCATTTTTTTCCTGAACTAAAAGGTTGACAAAGACTCATTTATTTAAATTAAAACTACAGAGTTATAAACAGCATGGAAAAAGTCAAGAGTGAGGTTAAAATAATCTAAGAACATGAAAATATTTTTTAACTAAAAATTTCTTTTTAAATAAAAATTATGGATAGCTAGAGGCATACTAAACGGAAATTTTGTTTTCCTGCATAACTTCAGTATTTGGTTACTGAATAAGGCAATGAACACAAATGGTAAGGCTTGAAGACGTTTTCAGCACTTTAACTCTGTTAAGAGATAAGCAGTTATTAAATCATCCTTAGAAATAGAAAATGGCTTGAAATGTGATCATAACTTTATATTTTGATCTATTCAGTAGAAAGAAACGTTCCAATCATTTGCAATCACACTAAAATAAAGTTGCCAATTAGAAGTTAAATCATATGTGTGGGTCTACCGTTACAGTCTATAAGTTGTATTTAAAATATAACTAAGAATCCTTATTTAATATAAAAACATAAATTTTTAAAATCAAACAGGTCTAAAATGTAATGCTCAATTTAAATGTACATTATAAAACAACCTATTATTTTCTGCAAGGGTAATTTATTCTACATTTGTGTACCAGTTGAAAGTATATGTAAATTTGCAATTTAGTATTCAAAATTTGATCACCTTTTCTCTTTTTTTGATCAACTTTAACATCAACACTTATGATGATAATCCATCACCTCCTCTAACACACACAGTTTTAATTTTCTAGTGACCATACAAAAAGCAATCTTTAGTGCTAATATGTAGGTTGCACCAACATAAATAGTTTCCAGGTGGTTAAGCTTTACTAATGGGCCAAGCACAAAATATCAGGTATTTTGATCTATACAGGTGTTCTAAACAAGGTTGACAAAAAAGAAACAACACTAAGTGCTAGAATAAAAATAATGACACATGCTCAGCTCCTTTAGTTTACTTAATCATTTTAACCTTAAGAATTCTTCCTTACTTAATGACAAGTGCATATAAATTAATAAAATATACCAATTAGGCATTAACAAAGAAATATGATTGAAGTGAATTACTTGAGTATATTAAGTGAGTATTTAAAGCTGAAATTTTAAGAACACAGCAAATTTTAAGAGGTTAAAAAAAATTTAAAACAGTTTTCATTAAAAATATATTTTCTAAAAAATACCCTTGCAAAATTGACCT